GAAAAACTAATGATATTTTCATATTATAGGATACTAAGTAGCTATTAAAAGGAATAAAATATATTTCTTCACAAACATGAGTTTGATATCAGTGTTGAGTAAATAAAAAAGCAATTTGAAAAAGAATACATGCACTATGATATTAGTTATATGTTTTTAAAGTACATAAAGAAACTATTAGCAATTATCATTTCTGGGTATTGGGTACCCAAGTGCTAGTTTTATAATTTTCTATATTTTTCTGTGATTAAAATTTTTCTTAAAGCAGAAATATGTGAAAAAGAATAAATAGGGAGCAGTTCATTGTTTCAAGTAGCACATTCAGGTCAGGTTATATAAAAACTGAACAGTATACACCTAGATTTAACAATTAATAAATCAATAACAAAAAAAAAAATTATTAAGCATCTATTTAGTGCAAGACATTTTGACATGTCACAGAATGGGGACGTATAGTATCAACCTAAAGGCAAGATAAAGCTTTCCTGATTTTGACTCTGCAGATTTTATTTAGATGATGTTGATTATGGTGTTGATGGTGGTGGTCATCATGGTGATAAAAGCCATATTATTTCATTACATAAAAATTCTAAACCTTCTAACAAGTAATTACAAACTTTCTGCTTAGGTAGGGTTTTTGGATCGGCAGAGGACATTGACCTTGCTGGAAGTATTTTATGACCAAAGTCCAAAAATCCTTAGGACATTACTCCGAAACCCAAGACAATGTAAGTGCCATTCAGAGGAAGTTTGCTTAAGCTGGGGTGATAGTTACATTGATATGGTAACACAAGGTCACTCCTCCCCCTTGAAATCTCTTCACCATAACTTCTTTGGATCCTGACAGCTATATACAGGTGTTCATTCTCTACAAAATTTACTTTTAATCACACCAATCTGTTTTATACCATAGGGCAATACTAAAAGTTGTCATGTGAGAACATAGCTAGAATTCAATTTTAAATTCATTCAATGATGAAATATTTTAGTGTTTATCTGAATGTTTTGGAAATTAAGGTGGTGATGGTAATTGCAGGTTTAATGTGTCCAAGTTAGAATTCAAACATTTCTAAGAAAAGTATTTTGTTCTCATAAGCATTTTTACTTGTACATATTTACTGTGCTTGTACAGTAAAATATTTTTTATATGATTACCAAAACACATATAATTACCTTTTTTTTTTAATTTTTAAAGATAATGCCTTTTAATGGTATGGTTTGCAAAAGAATGATAATGTTTTAGCTCTGTGTGAGAAAGTACTGATTGCTTATTTAAGAATCAATCGGAGATATGATATATATGGAGTCTTCCTGAAAATTGTAGGAATCACAGGTATAGCTTAACTACTAAACATTTGAAGAAGAGAATGGGCCCACCAAGTTTAAAACAAAACAAAAAACTGTGAGATTCTGGTGAATGCTATCCAGTTTTTCCCTAGAATTCTGAACCAGGTGTCTACATTGTTGTGGAGAAAAAAATTTGAGGAATGAAGGAGAAAGAAAGAGGGGAAGGAGAAAGGGAGAGAAAATTACTATTGAAGCAACATAGGCCCAGTGAAAGACTATCAGGAATAGAAATTTGATTTAATTTTTATATTGCAGTCATTGAAAAAGAATTCGTGATGGAAGATATGTGACCCCCTTCCCCATTCCTATGCTGTGATGAGGATCAAAGGCTGAGAATAAATTCTATTTGCCTTGGTTGTCTAAGCAACTCTCCAAATTGCAAAAGAAGAATCATGTTCATTTTCAAAGCCACATATTTTAAGAAATGATGATTTTTAATGTACAGTAGTAAGCATTTTCTATGCTTGTTTCCTTGGGTACTTTTATGTTTTTCATTGTGTTTCAGGGATAGGTACTTAATATTTATTTAAAGCAGTATGCTTATATTACAATCACTGTGTTCAATGCTTTTTCACATTATTTCATTTGATTGTTCTTTTCTGTATTATAAGATCTATCATTTAGGTAAATGTTTTGTTTTCTGCAATAGGGCCACTCATTGAATTTGAAGAGATAGACTTGTCTGAGTTTTGGGGTGACATGGATAATCAGAAACACATTTATGAAGACTTTGACCAAATGCTCTTACAGATGAATGCATTAGTTTCTGAAAAACATGCTAGCAAACTGTTAGAAAATCAAGATCAACAAAAACATGATAAACAGAGAAAATCAACAGCACCAAATTCATCAGAACAGCAGAGAAGGACAACTGCAGAACAAGGGTCACATAGACTATCAACAGGAGAACAAGAACAAGGTAGAGGGTCAGCTACAGAACAACAATCGAATAGAAACTCAATAACAGAACAAGGATCCCATACAGGATCAACTCTAGAACGAGGATCAAGTAAAGAGTCAATAATAGAACCAAGACAACATAGAGAGTTAATAACAGAACAAGGACCACAAAGCGTACCAATTTCAGAACATGGAACCCACGCACAATCAACTGCAGAACAAGGAACCCACAAAGAATCAATTGCAGAACAAGGACTTCACAGAGAATCAATAACTGCACAAGAGCAGCACAAACAAAGACCATACTGGGAGTCAACTGTAGAACAAAGACCACCCAGAGGGTCAATAGCAGAAGAACCACACAAAGGGTCAACTGCCGAACAAGGACTACACAGAGGGTCAATGATAGAACAAAGGCCACATAGAGGGTCAACTGCAGAGCAAGGACCACA